GCTAGTCCATCCATCGGATAATTGTTTATGCCCGCAAATGCACCACACGGGACTACATCGGAGTATTCCACATGCGGTGCAGAATCCATATCGAGAGTAACAATGGTAAAAGCGTTTATCAGCAACCACGTAATAGTTATTATCATATTCAGTAAATCCAATCATGAGTTCGTTGCGCTCCTTCATCCATTTTGCATATCGTCGAAATTGACCGACATCATTATTGTACTTGTGTGTTGGAAGTGAGTATATTCTGGCAAACTCACTCACAAGTGTTGGTGTACATGTTTCATTGCTTCCATCGCTTCCAACTAATTGCAACATTATCTCATCACATGTTGTCTTGTGAATAGCATAATGGACGTTGTCAATATGAGTTGGTTTTATGTCGGTGATTTGCGAGCAAGGAATCCATTTAAGTCTTAATTCATATTCACTTTCCAAGAAGAATTGAAGCAAGTTGTCAATTGCTGGATTATTGACTCCTGGAACTAATGACATCGTTTAAATAAGTTCTTCACGGAGAGTCATTCTCACTAATATACTAAGATTGAACCGATGATCTGTGTGTAACGGTCAACTCCCTACCATATTTAGTAGCAGTATTCTGCCAAATCTGGGGGTAATTACCTCTCCCGAGTGCTATCTCCCCCTTACCAAATTTAGTAACTCGAAACGTTACTAAATCTAGTAGGTACTTTTGCTTTTGTATAAAGAGATTGGTTGGTTTCACAGTTTCTAAAATGGGCAACCATATAATAATCCCACGGTTGTATTTGGTCGTTATTATTATGTGTTTTCATCACTACCTTCAACTACGAAGCTGCTGCAAGCATGACAAGTAGAGAGAAGTACGCTGTAGAGAATGGTTACATTCAAACTTGCTGATTTTGTTGAGGCTATTTATCGTTGTTGACCTTTTTCGACTCTCACAGTATGGCAACAAACGTTGACGTTATGGAATCCTGATTTAGAATTATTTGTGACACCAACGTCTTCTCGTAGATGTTATATAAACAGCCGAGAATTCTCCTGGCGTTTTGCTTGTATACACAAATAAGCAATGTATCATTTCGGTCATGAAGATCATGGAAACCATGGAGACCCCGGAGACCATGGAGGTCATGGAGGTCATGCCATGCAATGTTCCATGAATGTAAGCTTGTTTGTTTGTTTTTTGATGATTCCTATTCCTTCTCTGCTCATACGCCACTTTCTCTATGCCCTCCATTCAATATCGCTTTCTCTACATAGATGATCTTTACTTTCTCTTACGATAACCTTTGCGTTATATTCTCATGGTGGCGAGCAGACACATTGGGAAGCTTATTGATCTCTTGCTTTGTGATAACTTGCGTTACTGCATCTTTCGAATATCTCCGAAGAGCAAGAAAGGTCTATGATAAGATTTTAATAGATGAAGAGAACAGGAGAACAAGAAGAACCGACGACAGAGATGATCGGGTGTCGTTAGCCCGTCCGGGAAGAAGTGTTAGGTAATTAGCTTGCATTTTGATTGTAATCTGTATAAACAGAGTGATTACTAAGGCCTTCTTTTTCTGCGCAATTACCTTTTATCACGCATTCGGAACCTTCTTATACTCTTACAAGATTAACCGCAAATCAAAGAGTGTTGCGCTCGGTTCTCTATGCCATACAAGCCGGCTTATCTCTCTTTATTATGTTAATATTCATGACATATAATGGATGGCTAATGCTCAGTGTTGTGATTGGAGCCGCGTTGGGATTTTTCACGATTAATGGGAAAAATCTTAGTGCAAACCAAGATTATTCTGATATTTGCCATTAAAAACATGAGTACTGCGGTACTGATATACAACGCATATAATGTGAAGAGGATAGTAAAACGCTTAAGCGCTAATAGTAGCCCGAATTGGTAAAATTTTTTTTATAGTTTTGAAAGGATTTACAAGACAAATATCCGCCACATATTGTTTTCGTCGACAAGAATTGGTGATATAGTATTTTTTTTTTTATTAATTAATAAAGTTGCAGACACTGCTTTTGGTAGTGCAATTATAGTAGTGACGATACCAATTATGTTGCGGTCGCCCACTTAATCGAGAAAGAGTCTGCGACTATATAGAGGCATTTATTCAGTCAACACCCACTATAAAATATTAAAATTCTGATACAATTCTCAATTATCACATCAGAGCTGTCTTACCTTTCCCGCCTCCAACAGCCACGAGTTCATTATTAATCACGACCATAACTCTCAATACTTATCAATACTTTAACATTAACATATGCCTTATCAGAATTAGTCTTTCCCTTTCTTCTTTCTGGCCAGATATCTAGCTCTGGCGTCAGAGACAGCTTTCTCGTCATTCTTTTTAGCAAACTTTTTCAATAATTCCTCCTCTTTTGTTTTCTCTTCTTCTCTTTCCCTCTTTTCCTTTTCACGGATTTGCCTTTGCAGTTCTCGTTGCTGTTTCTCGCGTCGAAGAATCTCCTCTTGCCTTGCTTTCGTCGTTCTGTCCTTTTCGTGACCAATTCGAGTAAAGAATGACTCTCCCGGTTTATTACTATTGGATTGTGATTGCGAGGGTGATCTCTTTGCTGCAACGTTTAACCCGGCAGATAATAGTTGTCGTTTATCGATGATTTCCTCGTCTTCATTCAGATCGACCTGTTTACCAGCCGCGCGCGCAAGTTCCGCCAGTTGTTTGTCCGTCTTTTCTGTATCATCAGATTCTGTCGAAACTGGAATTGAACTTACTGGAGCGGAAGTTTCCCGACTAGCACGAATTGCCGCTTCCTTTACGGAGCTAGTTCGCTCAAGCAAATTACGGTAGAAGTGAGTTAAGTTATTCTGACCCTGAGCGTCCAGTTGTTCTAAATCGCCAAGAGCGAATTGATTGAGTAAGCATATATAGCACATAATTTAACAATTATTTCCATTGATCAGTAAGTAACATTCTTGTAATCATTACCTAGTCTTTTCTCTTCCTCTTCTAATTGTTTTAATTCTTCAAGTTGAGCCTGGTATCTGTATGTTCGCGTTATTAGATCAAATAGTTAACAACATAACAAAGAAAAAAAGGAAAGCATCAATCAATGTTGTGTTGATCTTACGCAGAAGTAATGAATCTCTCTGTCGTTCGAAGTTCTTCACCTTCAGCCTCTAATTCTCGCTGGGCTTTGCGCTCTTGTATTCGCATTAATTCTCGCTGTCTACGTGAAGCAGCTAGCAGTATATCTTTCAATTCTCTGTTTGCCTTTCCATATCGTTAGTCAAATGAGTGCCAATTTACATATCTATCAAAAGTATTTCAAAACGAGCGAACACACCCTTGCTCTCTCCTGTTCAACATTATGTGTAAGCGTTAACTCCCTATTCTCAGCGGCCTTCATACTATCATACACCTCATCATACATAAAGGCCGTATGATCTTCGGCGAGAGCCTTTTCATATTCTTCTTGAATCTGTTTACTGGCCGCCGTTTGGTTTATTTGACTGTTTACAACTTTGATCTCTTTGGCCTGTCGAGAAGTATTTGAAAATTCTACATCGTCATCGTCGTCGTCGTCGTCGCCAAGTATCAAAGGACGTTTCTGTTGTGAGGTAACCGGCTTTTTCTTTGGAGGTAGATTGAGGCCATACTTCTTGCGGTTATTCTGCATTGATTTCGAAAGGATTGCCACAGATATACACCAAGTATCCGTCACTTTTGATGATCTACGTTTTTCGAGAATTTTATCAAAAAATTCAAATCAACAACTTTCAATATTTTCGAACTTTTTATTTATTAATAAAGAACAAACATAAACATTGACATTCAGCACTTTAACACGTTTGGTCTCCCCCCAAACCCCAGACCATCCGACCGTAACAATACCACAAGTTACTTGCTATTGCTAGCCAAATTTAAAACATGCGGTAGGATTGATATCGTAATGTCAATAGAATATTTATGCTCAATTAGATTTAGGCAATCGATTATCAGTATAGCATAAGCTGGATGGACATTGTCTTTTAAAAACCAAAACTATTCCGAGATTACATTTTAATTTACAGCCAATTAGCGTTAACCAATTTTTTGTACGTGGACATCCCAGAGTGTTTGTGTAGTTTACTGGAATACTATTCATAGTAGGATGACGACGCGCCATGTTCACTCAAGATGAGCATGCTATATGAACATAGATTCTCAAAACTAATATTAATGTGAAACTGATTTTGAAAGCGACCAATAAATTATTCGATTTGTAATTGGCAAGGTAAAGGCTGTATATCTAGCTAACGGCAGCAGCAATGTCCTCCTGGTTGTAATTTTTCCGATCGATTTAAGAATTAAGGAAAAACCTATCACCAAACATCCTGATTTTGAAATGTATTTGCATAATAACACCCCACCAACTTTAAAATATTTCCAGGGCTCTCAGCACGGAATAAAGGGAAGTTTGCTAATATTGTCTTACGAGATCAGCATGATGGCTTATATTGTTGAAAAGAACAATCAAATCACATTACAAGATCACAATGATATCTTTAGTAAATAATGAGATTCTTGACATTGTGAAAGTGCAATTTGAACTCTTGTAATGATATAAATGCGATACTAATAGTGATCATCTATTGATGTAGGTCCCCAATGAGATAATTGGAAGAATGCCTTTGCATGCTGATATTAAAAGTAGAAGACGTCACTAAAGTATCAACTTTTAGATCCTCTTTTACTGAAGCTTGGTTGTGGCGAACCATCGATTAACATTTGATATTTGTATGGAAGGTCGTTTCTCTTTTTGGCTGCCAAGATGTCTTTGACGATGGTGCCAGATGACAAGATTAGTTGCAAATTCTGGCAAAAATGCAGCACATGTCCTATATGCCAATGACTTGCTTCGATCTTCATCGATCCCGCCTTTCTTCTCAGACCTTTTTCGATGATTGGAAAGCCATGTAAGTTAGGAGTACGTAAAAACCACTTTTGTCGTAGAAATTGCGATCGAAGGTTGCTGATTCCAGTATTCTTCTGAAGCGTACATGGTCTGTGTGGATGCATTTTTTGTGCTTCAGGGATGAACAACACATATAATTATAAAACGTAACGATTGTATACCGTCACATTAGTTTTCAACCGTTTCCCAATTTTCCGGATGCTCCTATCAGATAATGACCCTATTGCGTTTCGGTAAGTACTCATTTTGAATTTATCGCGGAAAATAACTCTGATGAAAGAAAGGATCCATCGTTCAACATATTTAGGGTGTAAATCTAAGATTCCTCTCAAATTCTTCTTCTGATCTTCTGATAACTTTCCAAAAATCGTATCAGAATCCCGATCAACAACACAGCCAAAACTGAGACAGTCGGACCATCCAATATCGTAGGGCTGGACGGTCTATAGTGTCAGTAATGGAGTGTGATATTTCGGGGTCTATTGGGTTGGCATCGAAGTCGGATAAGGAGGGTAATGAGGGTAATGATGTTTCAGACATCTCAAAGCAGTCAATGCTAGTTTTGTTTTGTTTTTGTTTTTTGAAGACTTATATGCGAGTTCGGGGCTCTTCTCTCGTATTAAATTGCAAAATGACATGGGGATATTATAATCTTTACGTCTTTTGTCTCTGACTTTTCCTCCGTTTTTTCTGATTCGACTAGATGTTGGGTGTTCGTTAATTATGGACGAAGCAATACTTCCCGGTTGTGATTGGACGAGTTTTGCCTTGTCGCTCTCGCCTTATCGGCACTTGGGTTTTGTTGTGGGTTGGGGGTGACTGACTATGCTCCTTATGTACGCCTATTAACTGCTGATTTAGGCGTAGTCTCGGGTTTTGTTGTTGCCCATGGATTATTATAAGTGAAGTCTTCTGACCTCGATCCAATGAATGAAAAGTCCAAGACTTCGCAATAAAGCGTATAATTAAGGTGCCGGTGAACTGGACAACTGCATTTTTTGGGGCGGCGTTGATTGATTTATTTGGTCTGCCAGTAGTAGGGTGTGTTATTATGATTTCATTAACTGGTTGTTCGTTTTCCGCATATATTCAGATATGGTGACGGCTAGTCGGACACCCGTATCAGTAGTGACTGGGGAACTTGTCACTTTTCCGATAAACCGGGCTACCATCATTGACTGTGGACAGTCAGTAGTGTTGATGGGTAGTAATATATGGGAGAGAATGATCATGTCGATGGTATCAGTATTAGTTATATAGCCGTGCGTTAGGTAGATTTTCCCAGGCTGCAATGCTTCCCCAGTCGAAGTTGTTCGTCATCGTTACTTCCGGTTGCTCCAGTTTCGGGAATAAAATATGTGAATTGTATACGTTGCGTTTCGTTATGAGTAAGTGAATGCCCTTTTTGTATATTGTAAGTGCCTATGGTCTTTACATAATGTATATGAGAAAAGAAATTGATGTGGCATGATCGAATGTTTTATGATAATTCGGTTATGAAAGAGTGAACGCGGAAGAATGGATTCCTTACGACAACGTCTATTATGCTGTTCACGATGTACTGGTAATAGAGTACACCAACACTTGTTAGTGAGTTTGCTAGAATATAACATACAAGTACAATAATGATGTCAGTCAATATAGACAATATTCTAAATGGCTTAGTTATCGCAATGAATTCATAAGTGGATTTACGATAACAAGTATTACATGGTTACTCATCCACGCGTCTACCCTTGTTATTCTTGAAACACATGATTTGTATTATGCCGAGGTATGCGTCATGTGATGAGCATCCATTACGGATGTTTGGATTAACAGAAGTATTGTCTAACTATAACTAAAAGAAGATGACGGCGTAGATTATGTCTGGCATGTACACGTCAGTTATAACGGCATTCTGTTATGAATGTAAAGCACCAAGACCTGTCGATTGGACTACGGGCAATAAGTCATTGGATTCATTTATTATGGATAATGTGAAAATAATTATGATACCCATATACAATGGATAGAATACTCTCTATTATTAAATATACAAGAGATGGCATCATTACATCACGATGCACACATATAGCAGATTGGCAATCGACGAGAGTGATATTCAAACCGATAGTTGATGCGCAGTCGTTTGGTTTTTATCAGGTAAATCACTTCACGCGTAAACAATGCAAATAGTGTTTGTTATTTATGATGCGTTTAATCGATGATTGACGTGATGATTGTTTTGTTTATTAAATAGCTAACTACGGATTACCCGGAGATATTAACACCCGAGAATATTTGGACTATTGGTAGCTTATCCTTTTGTATGTATCCTAACTAGATTTCATTATGCCTATCGCATGGCAGCATGGAAATGATGTTCATAGTAGTAATAATTGTCGCGGCTGATGCAGAAATCCACGTGATAAATTTTATTACCTAATTGTTGTTGTTATTCTATTGTGGGTACCCTTATTTGGATTACGAGTGACTGAAGCTCGTATAGAAGCGCGAGTTTTAGTTATTAAATTAGGTCACTTGTACCCCCCCCCCTGCCAAAAGTATAAATACGATACAAGATTTTACTAGTAAAACGTAAAAAATTGAAAATTTCAAGTCGTTAAATTTCCAATAAAATCTATATCATTTTATAGCTAAATAATTGTAGTTTTAATTCAGAAATATCTGCAATTTTAAAATCTTAACTATACCGACTGCCAAAGGTATAAACAACTATTATGATTATGAATGATAAAAAAAGGAAAAAAAAAAAAGAAAAAAAGGAACAAATTACCTCTTCACTCAAACGCATTGCACAATACCTTTCTTGCTCGGTATATGCCTCGTCAACCGAAATTTTTTCTAAATCCATGTGCCTTTATCTTGTCTCTTTGTGGACGCTAAGTTTGAAAGAATAATATGCCTGAAGGTTTCTAAGAAATGGATATGTGACCATTCTTCAAAGGAGTTTCCTCGAAGTATAATTTAATCTCTTTGAACAAAGGTTGTAAACTAGGTATTCGATAAAACTAACGCTTAAACGTGAGGTAAAAAAAGAATTGCGTGGAAAAATGTATTGGATCTGAGTCACATGACAAATATCTGTTGTGAATGCGATTACTACAACTTATGATATTAAATCTTAACTTTACGAGTTGAAAATTAAATTGGTCTCTTACAGCAGATGCTATTCCACGTCTCAGTTGTCAACCAGAAATATTGTAAGAGGCTGTTTATAGTGGCCATTCCCTCAAAAACTGTTCGATCAGACTAAACGGGAGGCAAGTGTTTCGGCCGAGATATCAAGTTCTGATGAACCGGAGACTGGACTTTGCCTAATTGGATCTGATGGTTGTGGAACAGTCTATACTAATATAATAGTGCTCATACATAATTTGGATCATCTTGAGTTATACAATATTATCATCCGAATTATTAATGACTAGTGCTGTAAATAAATCAGTTCACTTTTACCATGTTCTTTTCTGTATCTTTGTTATCGAATTTGCTTGCTATTTGAAACCATTAAAGTCTACGTGGTTTAGTATGTACAGTACAAGTCTAGTAGTCTTAGTACATTATACCAAAAATTGTAACCTTACGAATATATTGTATGATTGGTTTATTGTCTGAAAACTATTAATATAACAATTTATGTTTCCCAAATTTCTATATCATCCGATGGGTGTTCTTGATGACGTCTTAACTCTATAGTGATGGTTTTCAGGCTAAAGGTTATTCAACCTTTTCTGTATATCACTTGCCCACTATGCACTCTCTCTATAATCATATCCGTATATTGTAAAATTCCGTTATATAACCTCTGATTAGTTCTGGCGTTGCAAATGTCTAGTTCAAAGACTATTGCCCAAACATTGCTTACTATTAGGAGGACAAAACGATTTGAACTTGGAAAGGTTAATATATATGTATATATAATATTTATTCATCCAATGGTACCAACTAACCAACTAACCAAATATACAACTCGATCCAGTTTTCAGCCCATCTTGCATTCACACAATTACTAATCGCAGTTAAATCCACAAGTTTTATTCTGATCTACATACTCGCAACGATCTCGGCATGTCACCTCACCAAAGTTGGTTATGTCACCACGCCCTCAAACATCCTTCAATACGCAATAAGAAATCGTCGGTTCTCCAGTTATTGCTCATTGACGTCGACGGATTACCCCCCGACTCAGTTTCACAAGATTCGGAATCAACATCCATATTATTCTCTGTTTGCTCAGAACCATCCGCGTCTTGTTTGTTTCTGACGTTGAGCCATGGCATGCGTTTGCCCAACGATCTAATAAGCTTTTCTAGTTTAGTTTCACCCGTTTCAGGCCGCCAACATTCACTGAATTTTACTCGTTCAGCAGATAGGCGATATTCATCAAGAAGTTTAAGCTGGAATGCGGAATGCGCAAATACAAAACTATAAAGATCCAAAATCATATCAAATTTAATAGTCGGATCCAGCAAAATAAACATCGACGTACCAGTTCGTCAGCGGCTGCTTTAGGAAATTGAGCATCATTTGCAACTCCATACGCAAGCTTCTTGGGTTGTCCAAGATCTTCGAGCGAATTACTCACATAAAACCAATTAATGGCCGATGTTGCGCCTGGAAGACATTTATCATATGGTCCTAAATAACGACAAACGACTTGTTAACAATACGTTATGCTTGCATATACCCTTTGCAACGTCCTTACATCTCACTACGTACCAATAATAGCTCCAACGAACGGCTCTTCGTTTAATGCCTCGTCTCTGAACAGCAGTTGATAGTTTTGTTGATTTTGAAGATCGAGTATCGATGGATCAGGCGCAAACGTAGGATGGGAATGATACCATCCAACAACGCGCATGTTGCGATCGACAATGCGCTGACGGATTTCACATTCTGAAGTTGGATCCATTTCAACGTTTGTGCGATTTTCACCCGTATTTAATGAGCGGCAGGGGTATGTGGCCTTTACCACCAATTCTGAGAAAAAGAAATGGGATGTGGGAGGAGAGAGAAAGAGAGCATGGATGATATACCGTAAAGAAGTGGAAGTGAGAATGTTGTCGTGATTGATGAAACTTGCATAATCCACACGATCAATGATGAGTAAAATCGCGTACTCCTCTCTTCGGATAGCCAATTGCCAGCAAGGAAACCAATGATTTCTGTTTGCATAAGATGTGCATGGAAATCCATGGCTAGCATGACATTGGATTCGACAATTATCGAAAATGGCTGACATCCAGAAACGTTGGAATTTGGTGCTCCAATGAATGGTGTGCATTTGACCAACGTATGAGGATCACTAAAAGCGAGAGTACAAGAGTAGTAACAAATTATACAAAACGTCGACGGCGCTTTACACGTATATCCAATATTTGACAGCTATGCACATATCTCCATTCGGCGATCGGCGATCGGTAGTAAGCAAATATCGAATAATCGTAAAAATATTTCCAGAAGTAATAATACTTACGCATGACTCTCGAACTTTGTAGTATTAGCATGTACACGTTCTTTACTGCTGCGTAGTTTATTCTTCGCATATTCAGTACGCCCGTCAGCACCATATGAAAATTCCGGACCGCCATCATCGGATTTATTAGGTTTGGCGACTTTTTGTCTTTTGGGAGGTCTTGGTTCTTTGGGTTCCTTTGGCGGCTTGGGCTCTTTTGGCGGCTTGGGTTCTTTTGGCTCCTTTCGTCTATAAAGAGAAATTTTGTTTAAAAAATCAAAGGCTATTTTCGGATCCAATCTTCCCGCATCCAATACCTTTTAAAGCCCGCGTTCTTTGCAAATGGGATAGGACTACTCCTGGGCGACGTACTCGGACTATCCACTTCGATATCCAAACCTTTTGGTGTCTGAGCGTTCACTGATGTTGTCAAATCTCCTTGTGCCGGTAGTTTACTGTGAGCAACGCGACTGAGGTAAGGCCTAGCAGCGGCAGAATCGGGATCCAGTGTTTTACCAGATAAGGTATAGCCAGCACCTGATTCTTGTACCTTGTGAATGCATGAGAGGTGAGAACATAAGGCAATTGCCAGAAACGAAAAGATGTTTAGATGATGAATGCGTTTATGTAATGTCTAATAGATCATTATATTGGGTTTTCTTGGCAGAAACAAAGCCTTAAGCTTACTTTCTTCGGTAGAGGTAGTCCATCTCGATAAAGTTTGATAAAGTACTTTTGAGCATGGCTTCGGATCGAATTGGCATCTCTTGTCGCGATATGTTCAGCGAGCTATAGTGAAATACACGTGTCAGTATAGTCAGGCACTTTTAAAAAGAAAAAAGCAAAAAAGACGCGTTTCATCCATGCCGACCGCTCCTTGTTGGAACTCTTTTAATTCTCAGTTTTCCCTTTTATTCACCTTTATTTTCTTGTTTTGCCGTTCTAATTACAACCATCTCACTAATATTTCCGATCACTTTCAAATCTCTCACCAACCATCTTTCTCCTCTGCATCCTCACCCCAATCCACACCGTTCCATGGGGGGTCACTGACCTTCTTCCAATCGCGTCCGTAAAACTCGAGCCCCTCTAAAAACCTCTTTTCCTCGTCCCCTGTATACGTGCCGCTGTTAAATCCGGCTTGTAATTTTTTTGGTGTTTTTACTTTCTTTGGACCCGTACGATCAACATACGTGATGGTCGTTACATTGTCATAAGTTACAGTTTGTTGGTTATCCTGACTGCAATTCCCTCCCGAACCATCATCGGCCAGATTCTTGTCGGATGAGTTTTTAGAATTAACGTCTTTCGGTTCCGAAGGCGTTAAAAGCGTTTGTGTGGATGTCGACGGGGGTTCAGGAGACGATTTGGTGTCATTAAATTCTGTTGGCGATGTTGGATGTTTAACTGTTGCAGAATCCTTTGCAGATTTTGATGTTTTGGCGAGTTTGGGGGATTTGAGATCCTTGAGAAGCGTTAATTCGTCTGTCGTTGACTCGGGTGATTTTGATTCTTGGGTGACTCCGGCCGAAGCGTCAGGCGAAAATCGACCAAGAGACGAGCGTTCTGGTTTGAACGGCTTTTGTTTTTGAGTTCGTTTTTTTGCTTTTTATTTTAAAGTTGGGAATTGTTTATAGGAATGGATGGTTTAATTAACGTGCTGTTGGATGAGTATCCTGCCAATTCATCGAGCTGTCTGGTATTATCCGTCTACATTCTCCGTAATACATCTCACCTTAATAATACATTCATCACGTACCTTGCTTCTTAGTTTTCCCTCTGGCTGTGGGATCATAATCGTCGTCTGTATCCATATGGTCAGATTCGAAGAACTGTTCATATGTATTACTTCCATACTCGCTATAATATGGGTGGTCCTCGCCCAGTTCATCTTGTGCGAGCAATTTAGCTATTAGGGCCGATGACATTTCCTCCTCCTGTTCTTTTGTCAGAGCCTGTGAATCGATCGGTGCTTTTGTTGATGTGTTTGATTCTGCTTGCTTGTTTCTGCGTACCATTGCGAATAGTATGAGTTGTATGAAAAGGGAAGAGAGTAACTCGCTCAAGATGAAGTGGAAATCGGTCGATTTAATCAGGGGTATGGTTGATGATGATAATGTTGGAGTGATGTCATGTTGTTCGTAATTGATGAATTTTTATGTTGGTTTAAAGTGAAGATTGGGAATGAATAAATTACAATATTTGATAATAACAATGACAACTGATAGTGGTTGTGTTATGTTAGATGACGCGTCTGATTATGTCGCGCTCTCGCATAGACCATGTACTGTAACACTGATCGGACTAACTCTAATTCTATTAAACCACGTGTATCAAATTAAAGTTATTTGTGAAGTTGTAGTAATTATTCGTATAAGCCTTACTGCACGCGATATATCGTTAGAATCCCTTTGGCGGTAATTTTAATATCATCAATGATACATATTGTCTATGAATACAAGCTCGTAGTTATTGGTCTGGTTGAATATTAAGCAGCGACACTAGTGCAATGTATTCTAATCATACAACCTCAATTTACGTATAACATGTGCTCGCTACTGTCAAAGAAAGTGTTGTAAAAAAGCCATCACTTATTCATGGTTATAGTAATGACAGCACGTTACGTGACACTTCATACTTCATATTGATAAGCGTACAAACTTTGCATCTAACGGGAAGATTATTCTCATATATCGTTTGCCATATTAATATTATTTCAGAATAATAGGTTAACGACGACGTGTTATCTGTCTAGATCACATGAAACCTGATTGCTATAAAAGACGTTTATATATGCAAAGAGTATCGGGCGGATGGCGTCAAAGATCAGAATTTATCAAGCGCTTTATCAGAGAAAGTTTACCCAAGCCTACACGATTTAAGAAAATCTTATCATCGTTATGCTTGTATCGAGCTAAGTAATGCGCTGTGTGTCGTTATTGTAATTGCTCTGGTAATAAATAACCTTGACGTTGCAGATTAAATTCTTGATATCAGACTGATTATGATAGGAGGCCTTTATGGTAACCACAATTGTTAGACATCATCCCAAGCGGGCCTTTTAAGCATATGATCTTATGAACGAAATCTGATTTGAGAGTATGGTTTATAGTTTTTTAGTACAGTTCAATCTGTTTATACCGGGGATGTATATCTCTATACCGGCCGGATTGTTCGTTTCATATGAAAATTCTTTGTTTATACCGGCGTCTCTTATAAGCTTTCCATATACCGGTTCCGACCGGACACAGAGCTATGCCAACCCGTCCGGCATAAACAGAGCTGGCTGTATTTGACATTCACTCGTTTCTTTCTTCTATATTCGTGTACGTTATTTCACAGCTACATCATATAGTATTAATTAATATTAGTATTAGTATGTCCTGGTTGTTACACGCGAACAAAAATAGATAATATTTGTCTGGGGAGAATATCAATTGGTTGAATAAGACGCCGTAGCCTATTTGTAGAGTGTCGGAGTTTAGTAACATGTAATTCTTGCAAATGCTTGTACCATTCATTACTTCCTTATTTGATTTAGTCATAATTGTACTAAATAACGCTATTGTTTGTCGTTTTATTAAAAGATGTGTAATTATTGGACAGTCTTGCCTCGCCATTATAAGCGAAAGGTCATAACTTTTCATTCGTTTGTATGCCGAATATATACGTCCTCGATGACGTTCCTACTAGTAAACCCCATTGTTAATGGGTTGCAGTTTTGGCTAGATTTAATGGCGATCGATTGACATTTACAATACGAGGTAAGCAGACCATTATTAATGATATGATCTACTGCGTAAGTCGCGGAGTTTTTAAGAATTGCCATTTTAGTGTATAACGACAAGCAGAATAGATATATACCGACTTTCGTTCGCTTTCGCTGGATAACAAACCAAGTAAGAAAACATCACAATGCATACATCTAACACTCAATTTATTATAACATTGGATACTTTGTGTCCAGAAATCCAAACGGAGATTATCCTCTATGTAGAAAACCCAGGTCACCTCGGACAATGTTCGCGTAGTTGGTACAACATGGTAAACTCACCTGCTATAAAATCCAAGTGGCTGATCAGCAGAGTTGGCAGAACCCACGCATTATTTCACGCGGTGAGAATGGGCGAGCCATTCATTAATCTGGATGTAGTAAAATGCCTATTTGCTCAAAAAGCCCAGCTCAGTCGATATTTTCTTCAGAAGCTACGAGAAAAGCGAGAAGCGCCTGGACGCGGGATTCCGACTCGGTGGGCAAGCGATCTTCCTCCAAGCATTGTTGTCGAATTGTACGACGAAGGACAACGTCAATTCGGTAAAGGGCTCCAGCTTCGTGGTAATGATGCGCAACACTTTTACACTCTTTCGGGCGCATCACAAAATACCACTGAGGCAAAGCCTATCATACAGCACAATGCCTCTGGGATAATAAAACTGATCAAAGTTTATAAATTCGTACCGCTTCCTTGCGTACGAAGAAAAACAGTGTTGCGCTTTAGTGACACTGTTGGATGCTCGTGCGACCACGTTAAAGAGTGGAAGATCGTCGCACGAGCGATCGCCATTTACCCCGAGTTGGTCAACGTTTGGAAGAAAAACGGTGGCTACGACGTAATGGATGATTTGAATGTTTATGAGAGATCATAATTCCTTCCTTCTTATCCAGAGTTGCTGGCAACTAATGGTTGGATTTTTTGAACAATACTAGAGCTATTTGTAAACATCAACGTCAGTTATATTGTATATATTTTTTACTACGTGTCTTCCTCTGCACTTTACAACACTTACTCTTAAACTGTAATATATTAATATTAATTTTATTGTAATAAAAGTATTTGAAAGATTGTATTTTCCCCCGAACTATATTACCATAAGATAGTGAAATTAGATAGAGAATATTAAGCCAACGCTTATGTACAAGGTGTACAAATAAATAATTTTCGATAGCTTATCACTTTAAGAAAGTTAGGATGACCAATACAAATAATGTCCAAATTATGTATTAATTAATATTATTTGAAATTTTAAACTTTTGTTACCCTGCTTTGTCAGGACAATATTAAATAGTAATGCATTATTTCTGCGCTGTCGGATATATCGTGTCAAGCTGGTTGGCGACTGCACGAGGGTTACGCGCTACTATAAAACGATTCATGTATTAGATGTCAATGTATATTTAGTCCTATAAATAGATAGATAACTAGTTAAACAATAGAATGTATGCAAGCTGTAATTTCGCAACCAATTATCCATCCATCCATCCATCCATCCATCATCCTATTGTAGATTTTTTTTATCAGCATTGTGACAAATTATTATCGAAGAGTTGTGTTTGCAAACTTCATCCATATAGGGAAATGTGGTTTTTCGTTAGTTGTATCACAATAACAATGCAAATTTTGATGGTGAACGGTATGAACGCATAACACGAATGATCGAGTATCGCGTGATATTTGCTATAAAAATCTGTTGTTTCAAGTTCTTTATTGAGTTGTTTATTTTCGAACTTTTATCGCTAAACAATGTTGTCGTCACAAAACAAACTATTACAAATTTCTGGAGAGAAATACTCCTACGAGTGATTGGTCATATTCTGGATATCTCGAGGCTGTAGAAGTTACATGTTAAAATATGTACATGTAGTTCAGCAATAAAGTTGTACTTATTGTAGAAGATTACATGAATTTACAGTACCAAATCGAGTGCATTAAATCCGTATGGAGAAAACGATTTAACGAACATTTAAGAGAAATCGTTCGGATAAGGAGAAATTACTATTGTAGGAACTATTAAATAGGTCAGGTTCCGTTGCTAGATTACTGTCAAACGGCATTTGTACCACTAGTGCTTTGTACTATATAAATTGCGCCACTGAAAGGTGATGCCAACATTTATTTGTTTTTTAGCTTTGATGCATATTCTTTGCTATACGATAATTCTCTTAAGAATTGTAATAGAGTATATGAACACATACATCCATTCCGTTTGAAGAAGGCTCTGCACAGATGTTCGAATATTTGTTATATACCGTAAGTATGTTTATAGCAATATTTTCAGCATTACTGTTGTCAAGCCCAAACACGTATTCCTCAGTGATTTCCGCCTCATTTTGTGCACAGCACATAGCGACAACGCATCGGGACAGATATGTTGTCATTTATAAATAGGTATTAGATTGACCCGATATATCGAAATTCGTTGTCAGTTTACAGTAACTACGCTCCCCATATAAGCTGTCGTAGTTTTCTGCTCTGGACATTATCTTTGTTTTATTGTCCAGTTTAGAATAAATAGTTCTTTATATTCTAACATTGTAAATATTAAATTAATTCGATATTTCCCTGGTGAGTTTTTTTATCGTATCGCTAGTAAAAGTGTAAAACACTTTCTCGTATGGCGGTAAACAAATTTGATCTTGCCATCGAATTTGTAGGCCTTAAGCATCAGGATTATTATTCAATTGTTTATAAACGCATTTATTATTTGAAAACTTTCCCAACCGATAGACGGAGATTGGATAGTAATCCAAGCAAGCGTGTACGAAACCAAAATATTGGAATTCGTGAGTATTGTAAAAGCCACTAACTGTAATTAAAGATTTAGTGCTGGTAGGAATAGCTTAAGGTTCTGCCGGACCGCTTCCCACGTGTATCGATCCGACACTGTGTTGATTTTTTTTTTTTGGGGGGGGGGGGTTTCAGAGATAGCAAAGTTGTTCAAGCATCTGCGTACAGAAAGCTCATAACACAGGTCGTTCAGATGGTCTTGCATACATTATTATCGAAACCCAATATGAAACATGTGTGTGATAGAAGGATCTCATTAAGAAATGCCAGATTTTGTTCAGAACGCGAGGTCAGGCAAGATATGAAGCGAGCTTCGCTTTACAATTTAAGGCCTATACGTATTAATATGCTACAAAGTATTGGTACAAAGTATTGGTCTAAGTCTTAGATTTTACTTATGGATTATCTAGGTATGATATATACGAGCATTACGTAATAAGCAGGGATTGTCTTTCTAAACAAAATTCTTTTCAGAGAAATTAATATCAGCTTTGAAATTTAAACGTGCAAAGGTTGATCTTTTTTTGGGCAGTTGTGACTTGAGCAGTAAGTAATCTTTTACTGATTTTATATATTGTTGTTTGTTGTGTAGTTGATGGTCAGAGACACTGATCAAAGAGTTTCGAACAGAAGTGCACGTACAACAAGCCTCGCACAGGAAATAAAAAAACAAATATATAATAGGCACCGTATAATGAATGATCAATCTTATTATTATTATTTAATACATATAAATTAATACACAAAATTGTAAATTCGTCCACATTTGCTAAAGAATACTGATAACACCCTGGCGCGTTGAGTAGATGTCTTGATGATATTGGTTTAATGTTAAATCATAAGACGAATGGAATAGATCGTATACTGCTATTATGTTATCTAACTTGTATTCAAACACATCCAGGCCAGGTTATATAGACGATAGGTTTCAGTATAGGCATCATCTCCGCCACGCACCTCTTTGAATGAAAAAAAAGTATTAAAAATTTTGTTATGTATAACTAGATAATTTCGCACACTTGTGTATGGCAAGTTTATTTTCCGTTGTTGGATGCCGTTAAACTTGCGTCGTTACGGGGCCGTTACAGCTATGCAGCAATATCATGAAAAGAGTGGTGATATGTCTTCGAGGGATATGAGTGGATTGATGATTCATCACTTGCGTAATACCGTGGAATGACCTAAGGTTTTAATTCTTACATACAGGAGTTTCTTTGATCGGAAGATTCGAGCAGGTGTGGGATCTGCTTTTATCGCAACTTGTCTGCATTCTAGTCATCACGTCTTATTGGCCGACTGCATGGGGCCATTTGGAAAAGAACTGGTTTGGGTATGAAAACAACGTCAGTAAGCACCGCATCATCCAGCTGGTGCTGAAATTGACAATGAAAGTTTCGAACCGAGCTCGACGTATTTTATTCAGGAACGATTAGCATCAAACTCATTCCCAATTTCATAAACTTTAGTCTCAAGATTTACTTTAAATAAATAATCATATTTTCTTATATATTCAAATGATCTACCACGGCAAAGGCAGGCAATAGTAAACGTGCACGATTTTATTTCAGAACCCGACCATATTGATATGTATGGAATTATTTAGTATTTGAATAAAACTCGTACAACCCGTGAATTACAAGTTTGTTCAAAGAGTGTTTGAGTCACTAAATCACAAACAGTGGACAATGTTAATATTGTAAATTAACTTCATTTATAACCAATTATTGTCTTCATACCTGCAGCTGAATCCATATCATAGCTATTTCTTGGTTTAGGCAAATGTCCAGTAGGTAAGAGTGTACTAGAATATTTACTCTCCTTCTCGAGACGTGATAAGGGTTTTACATAATTATAAATAGTATTCCACGTGTTGTCATTAGATGTGTATATACCATCAATATCACTCCAAAGTGTATGTGCATCTGGACGCTTATCAGGATCAGCATCACAACACCGCTCGGCAAGTTTCTTGTATTCCTCTGGTGCGGAATC